AGTACAGCTGACACGATCTGGCTCACTGCAGCCTCCGCCTCCCAGGCAAGCAGTTCTCTGCCTCAGCCTCCCGAGAAGCTGGGATTACAGGCGCCCGCCACCATGCCTGGATAATTTTTATGTTTTTAGTAGAGTCGGGGTTTCGCCATGTTGGCCAGGCTGGTCTCGAACTCCTGACCTCAAGTGATCCACCCGCCTCGGCCTCCAGAAGTGCTGGGATTACAGGCGTGAGCCAGCGTGCCCTGCTGACGAAGTTTGTTGGTCAGGCGCAGTGGCTCAAGCCTGTAATCCCAGCACCTAGGAGGCCGAGGCGGAGGGCAGATCATGAGGTCAGGAAATCGAACCATCACAGCCAACATGGCAAAACCCGTCTCTACTAAAAATACAAAAAAACTAGCCAGGCGTCGTGGCGGCGCCTGCTGTCCCAGCTCCGCCGAGGCTGGGCTGAGAGAAATGGCCTGATCCTGGGAGGCGGAGCTTGCGGGTGAGCCGAGATCTGCCACTACACTCCAGCCTGGGCAGCAAACGAGATGCCATCTTAAAAAAAAAAAAAGATATGTGGGTCAACGTCTTTCATTTCATTTTGGAAAATTCTTAATATCATATACCTTGGTGAATTCTCTCGCCTTCTGGGACTCACTTACACACACATTAGACCCTTTGTGCCACATATCTGTGTTCTGTTTGTCCACTGTTTTTAGTCGCTGTGCTTCACCTTGCATGTTTTTGTTTTTGTTTGTTTTGTTGTTGTTGTTTTTTTTTCTTAGACAGACTTTTTTTTTTTTTTTTTTTTTTGAGACAAAATCATCTTGCTCTGTTGCCCAGGCTGGAGTGCAGTGGCATGATCTTGTCTCACTAAAACCTTCACCTCCCAGGTTCATGCCATTCTCCTGCCTCAGCCTCTCAAGTAGCTGGGATTTCAGGTGCCTGCCACCACGCCCAACTAATTTTTGTATTTTTAATAGAGTTGGGGTTTCACCAGGTTGGCCAGGCTGGTCTCGAACTCCTGGATCAGGTGATCCCAAAGTGCTGGGCCTTGGCCTCCCAAAGTGCTGGGATTATAGGCATGAGCCACGGCGCCTAGCCTACAAAAAACTGTTTAAAAATTAGCTGGGCGTGGTGGTGTGTGCTTGTAGTTCCAGCTACTCTGGAGGCTGAGGTGGGAGGATGGCTTGAGCCCAGGAGGTCGAGGCTGCAGCAAGCTGTGATTGCACCATGGTACTGCAGCCTGGGTGACAGATTGAGACCCTGTGTCAAAAAAAAAACAACACCCAAGTTTAAGGTGAAAAGCATGAAGTCCGGCTGGAGAGGCATCAGCCAGCATTCAGACGATCTGGCCAAGATCACTGATGGAGGTGGCTACGCTAAGCAGACTTTCAGTGTAGAAGCAGCAGCCGTCTGCCGGAAGAAGATGTCACCCAGGCCTTTCCTCGAGTGGGAGAAGCGGTTCCCTGGCTTCCAAGGAGAGGCCCACCCTCTTCACCCTCTTGTTAGGGGCTAATGCAGCTGGTGACTTTAAGGTGACGCCAGGGCTTTTTACCATTCCACAAATCCTAGGACCCGTGAGAATTATGCTAAATCTATTCGGGACTCTGTAAATAGAACAACAGAGCCTGGGTGACAGCACATCTGTTTAGCACCTGGCTTACGGAATATTTGGAGCCCACTTTTGAGACCTATTGCTCAAGAAAAGTTTCTTTCAAAATATGACTGCTCACGTACAGTGCACCTGGTCACCCAAGAGCCCTGGTGGAGACGCACAAGATCAGTGTTTCTGGCCAGGTGCGGTGGCTCACGCCTGTAATCCCAGCACTTTGGGAGGCCGAGGCGGGCGGATCACCTGAGGTCAAGAGATCAAGACCATCCTGACTAACATGGTGAAACCCCGTCTCTACTAAAACTACAAAAAATTAGCCGGACGTGGTGGCAGGCGCCTGTAGTCCCAGCTACTCGGGAGGCTGAGGCAGGAGAATGGTGGGAACCCGGGAGGCGGAGCTTGCAGTGAGCCGAGACCGCGCCACTGCACTCCAGCCTGGGTGACAGAGCGAGACTCTGTCTCAAAAAGAAAAAAAAAAAAAAAAGATCAGTGTTTCCATTCCTGCTAGCACAACATCCAGCCTGTGGCCTGTGGATCCATGAATGAATGACTTGGAAATCAAGATGACTCCTTGACATGTCATTCATTCATTTATTTATGAATGACACGGTGCCGCTCTGTCACCCAGGCTGGAGTGCAGTGGCATAATCTCGGCTCACCGCATCCTCTGCCTCCCGGGTTGAAGCAGTTGTCCTCCCTCAGCCTTCCGAGTAGCTCGGGCTATAGGCACGTGCCAGCACGCATAGCTAATTTTTATATTTTTTTGTAGGGGGGTGGTTTCACCATGTTCCCCAGGCTGGTCTTGAACTCCTGAGTTCAAAGCAGTCTGCCCATCTCAGCCTCCCAAAGTGCTGGGACTCCAGGCATGAGCTACAGTGCCTGGCCAAGTCTCACTGTTTTTGAGGCAAGGTCTCACTGTGTCGCCCAGGCTGCAGTGGAGAAGCAGAATCACAGTTCACTGTAGCCTCTACCTCCCAGGCCCAAGCGATCTTCTCACCTCAGCCTCCTAAGTAGCTAGGACTACAGGTGTGCACCACCATGCCTGGCTAATTTTGATTTTATTTTTGTAGAGATAGGGTCTCCCTGTGTTGCCCAGGCTGGTCTTGAACTCCTGGCCTCAAGCAGTCCGCTTGGGTCAGCCTCCCAAAGTATTGGGGTTACAGGCAGTAGCCACTGCACCCGCCCACAACTCTCATTATTGAGAAATACATTTGTAAGACTCTGGGTGCTTGTAGGTACCGTGGAGAGCAATCACTCTGATGGAGCTGGGGAAATTGAGTAAATTGAAACCCCTGGAAAGGATTTGCCATTCTAGAGGCCGTGCAGGACCTCTCCCGTATGATCCATGGGAGGAGGTCAAATGGCAGGATTCGTGGAAGTTTGGAGGAAGTTGATCCCAGGCCTGAAGGATCAGGACTTCTATGGAGGAGGAACTGCAGAGATTTTAGAAGCAGCAAGACAGCTAGAATGAGAGGAACTTGGAGATGTGACTGCCCTGCTGCCATCTCACAAGAAACTTTCACACGTGAGGAGTTGCCTTTTTTTTTTTTGAGACAGAGTCTTGCTCTGTCACCCAGGCTGGAGTGCAGTGGCACGATCTCGGCTCCCTGCCAGCTCCACCTCCCAGGTTCACGCCATTCTCCTGCCTCAGCCTCCCGAGTAGCCGGGACTACAGGCGACCGGCACCGCACCTGGCTAATTTTTTGTATTTTTAGTAGAGACGGGGTTTCACCATGTTGGTCAGCCAGGTCTCGATCTCCTGACCTCGTGATCTGCCCGCCTCAGCCTCCCGAAGTGCTGGGATTCCAGGTGTGAGCCACCGCGCCCAGCCGAGGCGTTGCCTCTTGAGGGTGAGCAGGGGAGTTGCTTCAGCTGCTCTGTAGTCCCAGTGAAGGTTCTGTGAACCTGGTGGAAATGAGGACAGAGGACTCGGAATAGCTCGGAACCTCAGTTGATGAAGCCGCGGCTGGGTTTAGAGGACTGACTGCAGTTTTGAAAGACGTTCTGCTGTGGGTGATAAATGCTATCAGACGGCATCACGCCCCACAAAGAAATCTTTGATGAAAGGAAGAGTCGGTCGCTATGGCCAACTTTTTTGTGGTCATAGTTTAAGAAGTTGCCCCCGCCTCCGGCAGCCACCGCCCCAGTGAGTCAGCCGGCGTCTACGTCGAGGCAAGACCCTCCTCCAGGGAGATTAGGGCGCACTCACAGTCCGACGATCGTTACCGTTGTTTAGCAGTATTTTTATTTCTCTATTATTTAGTTAAGATGGGGTCTCGCTGTATCACCCGGGCTGGAGTGCAGTGGTACGATCATGGCTCCCTACAGCCTCCGCCTCCTGGGCTCAAGCGATCCTGCCGCCTCAGTCTCCCGACTAGCTGGCACCACAGGCTTAATTAAAGTGTGTCCGTTCACAGTGTACCATGGTATACCGTGGTACACTGTGAACGTAACTTTTGTGCGCACTAGGAAACGAAAACATCTGAGTGGCTATTGCAGCGTGGAACCCCAAGGCACGCTTGCGATCACCTCAGGGTGTTTCTCGTACCAGAACACGGTTGCCATGTGCAGTGGGGCAGTGCTTGTGACGCTGGTGCCTTTGTTTCTGTTGTGGCTTATTCAGCTGGGAGTTCCTGTCCTAACATTTTCGGCGATGGCTGTGCACCCGTGGCCCCTCCTCACCTGCATCCCTCAGGCCCCGCCATACCCTTCTCAGCTCCGCTCTGCACCGAAGGGGCTGGGTGGGACCCACCCTGGCATCGTCACAGCCCCGAGTGGTGTCCAGCCTGCCCGCTCCACCAGTGGCTGCTGGAGAATGACCCGAGCCTGGGTCAGGCCGTGGGGATTCCTGCAGCAGCTTACAGCTCGCCGGGGCCTCCTGCCCTCCGGTCCACTCTCCCCACTTTCAGTGTCCCCTGGCCGCCATGGGCAGGGGCAGCTCTGTGGCTTCTGTGTCCCTGCCTCAGGTCTGCCTGCTGTCATCTGCCTCCCTCCCTCTTTCTCAGAGCAGCCCTGGGCCTGGAGATGGGGACTGTTGTGCGGCCCCTCTGCGTCTGGGGGTGGGACTGCCCCCTGGCTCCAGGATCCTCAGGGCCTCTCCCCGGGATTGGCAGTCATGCCCTCCCTGCAGTACGTTCTCCCACCTGTGCCACCCACCCACCCATCTCACTCCACAGAAAGGCCCCTCAGCCCTACCCTGTTAGTCTCTAGGCAGTCACGCTGAGACCTCTGGCCTCTAATGTCATGTGGCGTGTGTTTCCCAGCTGGGTTCCGGGCAGGGACAGTGCTTGTCATGTCCCAGCCTTCAGAGCTCCTTCCAGCCCAGCAGCCCCCTGGCTGCGTCCTCTGTGGCCTCCGCCCCGTGTCCTCGCCGGCGCTCACCTGTGCCTCTGTTTCTCCACAGCTGTGAGCCGTGAGCTTTGAGGCGGTGGGACCTGTCAGCAGAATGTCTCCTGCCCCCGAGAGCCACCCCGAGGCCACTGAGATGAGCCCCGTGGCCTGGCCGGCCCCATTGCCTGCGTCTCAGTAGCCAGGAGCCACGGGGCCCACGCCCGCCCGCCAGCCGCGGTGATGTTCTAGCCACAGAGGAGCCAAGACCTCAGGTTTCCAGAGCCTTGGGATTTGCACGGCAGCAGAGTCACCGTGGAGAGGCCAGGGTATCACAAACTTATGGATTTTGACAAGAAAGGAGGGAAAGGGGAGACAGAGGAGGGCCGGAGAATGTCCAAGGCCGGCGGGGGCCGGAGCAGCCACGGCATCCGGAGCTCGGGGACCAGCTCGGGGGTCCTGATGGTGGGCCCCAACTTCCGTGTCGGCAAGAAGATTGGCTGCGGCAACTTCGGGGAGCTCCGCCTAGGTGAGGCCTGCTCATGGCTGATGGGGCGGGAGGCTGCTGGCAGGGCCGCACGGGGTCACCAGAGCCTCCGGCGGGTCCACCCTGGGTCACGGGAGCCTCCGGCCGGGCCGCACGGGGTCACCGGAGCCTCCGGTGGGGCCACCCCGGGTCACGGGAGCCTCCGGCCGGGCCGCACGGGGTCACCGGAGCCTCCGGCGGGGCCACCCCGGGTCACGGGAGCCTCCGGCCGGGCCGCATGGGGTCACCGGAGCCTCCGGCGGGGCCACCCCGGGTCACGGGAGCCTCTGGCGGGGCGGCACGGGGTCACCGGAGCCTCCGGTGAGGCCATCCTGGGTCACAGGATCCTCCGGTGGGGCGGCACGGGTCACTGGCATGTGTTGAATCATCGGTCCATCGTGGTACGAGTGCCACTTCCCTTCGAGGAAGCTCTGTGGGGAGAGTGGGTTTCTGGCCCTGTCACCTTTTCGGGAAACAGTTCTGTTGGGAGGCAGGTGGCCCAGAGCAGGCCAGGCCATGCCGCAGTGAGTCCGAGTATTAAGTCATGAATGACTTCCACAGCGCATGTCCGTGCTGGGCAAAGCCCTGGCCTTAACCGCAGGTGCCAGCGCAGAGCCAGCGTCGGGTGACTGGAGTGACTGTTCAGTGATGACGCTGCTGTGTGCCACTCCCAGCTTCACTGTGTAAAACGCCGAGCCTGGCCCACCTGGCTCCATGCCTTCTGCTCACACTGACCTCTCCCGGGTCGCGATCTGATTGCCCGGGCAGGCGTGAGGAGCAGGGCCGAGGACTGAGCCTCTTACTGGCCAGGGGCGCCTTCCCTGGGGTGGGGGTGCCTGAAGATGACCACCAGGCCTGGGGGAGCTCTGAGCACGTTTGGGGCCAGTCGCAGTTCGTGATTAGCTGTGCCGGGGAGGCGGATCATCCCCAGAAATACTAAATTCATTCCTGGTGCTGCTGGGTGTGCGGCAAACGCCTGAGCTCCTGCGGGAGGGCATTTGACGTCTGTGGCTGGGATTGTCCGGGCGACCCAAGTGCACCCCCGGTCAATGTCTGTCGTGGTGGGAGTCGGGGTCTCTGGGAAGGAGCGCAGGATGGGCAGGTCCGGGAGGCCGCGGCAGTGGATCAGCCTCATGTGGGCACCCACGGCAGGTAGTACTGCAATCCGGCCCCTCGGCCCAATGAGGTGGTCAGGTGAGGGAAACTGAGGCGGTTGTCAGGTGAGGGAAACTGAGGCCCAGGCAGTGGGCATGTTGTGGCTGCACCTTCAAGAGCGGCCGCCCAGGGGTGCAGGAGCATGGGCTGTAGCCACCTGGACCCCAGGCATGTTTTGTGACCCCGCTTCCCACCTCCTGCCTCAGTTTACCCACCTGTTAAATAGGGATGAATGGTAGTTGCCGCTCTTCAGAAGTGGGTTCAGCAGGCAGTTGTGTGGCAGAAGTGTGTGTCCTGAGTCAAGCAGCTTCTCCCAGGCGAGCGCAGCTGTTGGGGTCACTGTTGGCTGCTTCAGTGTTCCCATTGGCTGCACCCAGGGCCCCAGGAGGCCTGTTTGAGACCCCCATCCCGAACCAGATCCCACCCCAGCCCTTGGGGAGGCTGCTGGGATTCCACCCTTTTGCGCAGAGGCTGGGCTTGGGCCTCACTGCCTATCTGATGGCCTGTGGCTCGGGAGGCCCCGGGCTCCGTTTCTCAGCCAAGAGAGTGAGCTTTTCCCTACTGGTAGCTGTGGCCTCCCAACCCTGTGTGTGTGCGCATACTCGGACACACGTGCAGACACATGCAGATGTGTACACACATGCCCACACACGTACATGTGCACACTACAGCACATGCACACAGGCACGCACAGCCACAACCATGTGTACACGTGCACACAGGCACATCTGCACACACTCGCCTGGCACAGCCCTGTGACCTGCAGCCTGCGGGATATGGCTTTTGGGGACCCATATGACTGTGTGGGTCCTGTCCTTGGGCGGTGGTTGCAGGCCGCTGAACAGTGCAGGTCCCCGTAGGCAGGTGAGAGGTGAGAGTGACATATGGGTGATGCTAGCTTGCCAGCTTTTTTTTTTTTTTGAGACGGAGTCTTGCTCTGTTGCCCAGGCTGGAGTACTGTGGTGCAATCTCGGCTCACTGCAAGCTCTGCCTCCCGGGTTCACGCCATTCTCCTACCTCAGCCTCCCAAGTAGCTGGGACTACAGGTGCCCACCTCCGCACCCGGCTAATTTTTTGTATTTTTAGTAGAGACGGGGTTTTGCTGTGTTAGCCAGGATGGTCTCGATCTCCTGACCTCATGATCTGCCCGCCTCGGCCTCCCAAAGTGCTGGGATCACAGGCGTGAGCCACCGCACCTGGCCTGGTGACGCCAGCTTTTGCTGAGTTGTAGTTTGCGCTCTCTTCAGCCTGGCGTCTTGGGCGTTGTGTGCTTCGCTGGCAGCCGCACGTCGTGGTTTCTCAGGGATGCCGGGAGGCTGTCCATCGGAGAATGCACTACCCCTTCTTCATCTCCTCCTCAGTGCAGGGACGCTTGGCTGTTTCCGGATTTAGGCCCTTCTGAATAGAACTAACTGCCCAAATAGAACTGAACAGCACTGGGCGTCTCAAGCGCTCCACGTCCCCAGCACTCAGGACTGTCGGTGGCTTCGGCGTTGAGCCTGTTGTAGACTCAGGTTGTTGAATATTGTTCTGTTGTCTAGAATGTGTCATTTTTTTCTGTTTTTAAGGTTTTTATCTTTGATGTAAAATTTTGACTCTGCTCTGTTTGCATCCTGCTTAGGATCCATTGTCTTGGATGTCTGTGTTGATACTTTTCAAATTAACTTTGGAAAAATGTGAGCCATTATTTCATGAGGCATTTGTCCATCTCAGCTTTGCTTTGCTTTGCTTTGTTTTGTTTTGTTTTGTTTTTTAGATGGAGTTTTTCACTCTTGTTGCCCAGGCTGGAGTACAGTGGGACAATCCCAGCTCACTGCAACCTCTGCCTCCCGGGTTCAAGCCATTCTGCCTCAGCCTCCCAAGTACCTGGGATTACAGGCGTGCGCCACCACGCCCAGCTAATTTTTTCTGTTTTTTCTTTTCTTTTTCCCAGATAAGAGTCTTCCTCTGTCGCCCAGACTGGAGTGCAGTGGCATAATCTGGGCTCACTGTAACCTCTGCCTCCCGGGTTCAAGCCATTCTTCTGGCTCAGCCTCCCAAGTAGCTGGGATTACAGGCGTCTACCACCACGCTCAGCTAATTTTTATATTTTTAGTAGAGACAGGGATCTCACCATGTTGGCCAGGCTGGTCTCGATCTCCTGACCTCGTGATCCGCCCACCTTGGCCTCCCAAAGTGCTGGGATTACAGGCGTGAGCCAACGCGCCTGGCCATTTTTTCTATTTTTAGTAGACATGGCGTTTCACCATGTTGGACAGGCTGGTCTCGAACGCCTGACCTCAGGTGATCCACCTGCCTTGGCCTCTCAAAGCGGTGTTACACACGTGAGCTACTGCACCTGGCCTGCTTTGTTTTTTTGAGACAGAGTCTTGCTCTGCCCAGACTGGAGTGCAATGGCGCAATCTCAGCTCACTGCAACCTCCACCTCCTGGGTTCAAGCAATTCTCCTGCCTCAGCTTCCCAAGTAGCTGGGATTACAAGCGCACCCCACCACACCCAACTAATTTTTTGTATTTTTAGTAGAGACGGGGTTTCACCATGTTGGCCAGGCTGGTCTCAAACTCCTGACCTCAGGTGATCCACCTACCTCAGCCTCTGAAAGTGCTGGGATTACAGGCGTGAACCACCACGCCTGGCTGATCCCGGAAGTTTTGGACTGGCCCAGCCTTGCTCTCATTCTTGGGTTCTGGTTCTGCATGTGACGCGAGTGCTTGGCGCTATCTGCAGGCCCCTCGGCCCTGGCTGTTTTCCCTCAGTCTCTGTGTTCTCCTGGTGTCAGGCTGTGCGGCTGCTGCTGCTTGCTGTAAGTTTACTCTTTTTCTACAGCCTCCAACCCTGGAAGTCCATGCGGTGCATCTTTGATCGCTTAGTGGCATTTTTCAGTTCCGTATGATTCTCCATTCGACCTCAGCTGAGATTTCCCATGTGCACATTGATTTTGGCCATCTTTTCCTTTACATCTTTGAACATGTTTGTGCCGTTTCTTAGTCCATTTTGTGCTGCTTTAACAGAATGCCATAGACTGGGTCATTTATTTTTATTTTTTATTTTTTTTGAGATGGAGTCTTGCTCTGTTGCCCAGGCTGGAGTGCAGTGGTACGATCTTGGCTCACCACAACCCCCGCCTCCCGGGTTCAAGTGATTCTCCTGCCTCAGCCTCCCGAGTAGCTGGGAATACAGGCGCACACCACCATTCCCAGCTAAGTTTTGTATTTTTAGTAGAGACGGGGTTTCACTGTGTTGGCCAGGCTGGTCTGGAACTCCTGACCTCGTGATCCGCCTGCCTCAGCCTCCCAGAGTGCTGGGATTACAGGTGTGAGCCACTGCACCTGACCAGGCCATTTATAGTGAACAGAAATTGACAGACTCACTGTTCTGGAGGCTGGCAGTCTTTAGATTGAGGATGGCATCTGGCAAGGACCTTCTTGCTGTGTCATCCCGTGGTGGAAGGCAGGAGGGCAAGGACCGGAGGGGGCTGGATTTGCCCTTTAATCAGGAGCCCGCTCCCATGCTGATGGCATTCATCCATCCACCAGGGCAGTGACCCAGCCCCAACAGTGCTGGACTGGGGACCCAGTTCCCAACACGTGACCCTTAGGGGGGTGCATCAAAGACACAGCACTGTGTGGAATGACGTCTGTGCTGCTGCTGACTTTCTCTCTTGTCACGGTCACACCCCCTTCGTTCACCTGTGGGACGGCCTCAGTGGGTGTGGCTGTGGTGTGTGCCATGAGGTGTGGAGGTGTGGTCTCCCAGCTTGAGCGCTGGGTTTGTCCCTGTGGCTCACCTTGTTTCTGTCAGGGTTGGTTTCAGTGTTGCTGGGGCAGGGCTGAGGGTAAACATGAGTGACTCCAAGGCCAGGAAGCCCTGCGCCAAGCTGTGGACCTTTTGGGTTCTCAGCTGGAGTCAGAGAATCCAGGGAGGACCTCGCACTCCGGCTGTTGGAGGTGTGGCATCCTCCCGCCCGTGTGTCCCCCGGAACCTCCTGAGCCTCTCTGGAGCTGTTCTCTGCCGGGCCCCATAGGGTCTCCTGCCCTCTGCGTGCACCGCGAGTACTGCCGGAGAAGGCCCCTTCGGCTTTCAGAGCCCAGAGCGCCCGACCTCCTCCAGGAGTCTGCAGATCCACAGGCCTCAGATGCTGCCACACCCGCCCAGCGCACACCCAGGTCTCTGAAATGCTGTGTGCACACAGCGGTGGGGGTCAGGCGAAGGTTTCTTCCACAGTGCAGAGTGGAAGAGCCGGGAAAGACCACATCACATCAGAGGCACCAGAGCTTCAAAGGTCTGCTCATCAAGACACTGCCAAAAGCATGAGGCCAGCCAGGCTGGGCAAGACCGAGCATCCGTCTAAGTGTCGGGGAGCCACAGCTGGATGATACATCGACAGACAGCGGAGGGACGGCACAGCACACAGGCGAGGGCTCGGCCTCCTCAGTTGGGGCAGCGCAGCTCAGCCCTTGGTGGTGGTCAGCAAGTGGCTGACACTTTGCCGGAGAAGGGGACAACTGCCCTCAGGAAGAGCTGCACAGCCGTGTTCGCCGAACTCCACCCTGGAGAGTCAGAACTGGAGACGGCAGGGCGTGCCGCAAGGGCGAATGGGCACGCCAAACCCCGTCTTCCCCGTGAGCTGGGGCGCAGCACCAGGCAGGCACACGCCGCGCACTACGGCGAGGAGCCCACCGCAGTGGCAGCCTCTTAGGGGGGGAGGGGTGATGGCTGAGGGGCAGGGCACTCTCCCTCTCAACAGGACTGGGTTGGTTCAGGAGCGGGCAGCTGCCAGCGCTCACCAGACAGGACTTTGGAGACACGGGCATCCCACTGTGAATCCCACCTCCAAAAAGCAGCGCAGGAAGGAAAACCGCAAATGCTGGGCTGAACCTGCAGCTGCCAGATTCAGGGGAAGGACCTACGAACGCTGGGCTGAACCTGCAGCTGCAAGATTCAGGGGGCAGGCCGGGTGCGGTGGCTCAAGCCTGTAATCCCAGCACTTTGGGAGGCCGAGACGGGCGGATCACGAGGTCAGAAGATCGAGACCATCCTGGCTAACCTGGTGAAACCCCGTCTCTACTAAAAAATACAAAAAACTAGCCGGGCAAGGTGGCGGTGCCTGTAGTCCCAGCTACTCGGGAGGCTGAGAATGGTGTAAACCCAGGAGGCGGAGCTTGCAGTGAGCTGAGATTGCGCCACTGCACTCCAGCCTGGGCGACAGAGCGAGACTCCGTCTCAAAAAAAAAAAAAAAAAAGATTCAGGGAGCAGTGTCCTGGGCTCTAAAACTTCCAAACTTGGGGCAGTGTCCTGGGCTCTAAAATTTCCAAATCTGGGGCAGTGTCCTGAGCTCTAAAACTTCGAAATCTGGCCAGGCGCAGTGGCTCACGCCTCTAAATCCCAGCACTTCGGGAGGCCGAGGCAGGTGGATCACCTGAGGTCAGGATTTCGAGACAAGCCTGGCCTACATGGCGAAACCTCATCTCTAGTGAAAATACAAAAATTAGTCAGGTTGATGGTGCCTGTCTGTAATCTCAGCTACTCAGGAGGCTGAGCCAGGAGAATCGCTTGAACCTAGGAGGCAGAGGTTACAGTGAGCCATGATCATGCCACTGCACTCCAGCCTGAGCAACAGAATGAGACTCCATCTCAAAAAGGAAAAAACTTTGAAGTACCTCTAAAAATAAGATGGACCAGTGGATGGTAGCTGTGAGGATGTACCATGTGGCAGGTTTAGTTCTGGGGCCTCGGCGGTGAGTGTTGGGTATTCGGGGCACGGCTCCTATTGTTTTACGAGGAGAATTTCCGAATAACGTTTCACTGGGGAAAACACAGGAGGGGAGCCCATTTGTTCTGAAAACGCAGGGACCAGCCCTGGTCCCCAGCTCAGGACTGGAGGGGGCGCCCTGGTCCCGGGCTCAGGACTGGAGGGAGGCGCCTGGTCATTACTCATCCTTATGATCCTGCCCCGTCAAGATGCCACATTCTTGAGGCTGTTTAGGGAAATTGACAAGCTGATTGGAAACTGTGCCGAAATAGAGCCCAGGCAGTGCTGCAGACGGGGCAATGCGGGAAGGGGCCCCGGCAGTTCCCGTGCTGCAGGGCACATGTGGGTTGGGGCACTAGTGGGAGGAAGAGGCTCTCAGGGCCCAGGTGGGACCCCGGCCTCAGACTGTGAGGTCATGACCGTGTGCAGCACGGCCAGCAGGCTTTGGGGCTTTGCATCCACCTTAGCAGGGTTTCCAAACCCGTTGTCGCCACGGCCACCCTGCCAGTCCAGCTGCAGCAGGGCGGGAGGAAGTGGAGGCTTCTTTCTTTTTTTTCTTTCTTTCTTTTTTTGAGACAGAGTTTCGCTCTTGTTGCTCAGGCTGGAGTGCAGTGGCATGATCTCAGCTCAACACAACCTCCACCTCCCGGGTTCAAGCACTTCTCCTGCCTCAGCCTCCCTAGTAGCTGGGATTACAAGCATGCACCACCACACCTGGCTGATTTTGTATTTTCAGTAGAGACGGGGTTTCTCCATGTTGGTCAGGCTGGTCTCGAACTCCCGACCTCAGGTGACGCCCTCCTTCGCCTCCCAAAGTGCTGGGATGACAGGTGTGAGCCACCACCCACAGATGTGAGCCACCGCCCCCGGCCACGGAGGCCTCTTTCTGCCATGGATGCTGCTCAGGCAAAGGCAGCTGAATGCAGACCCAACACGGTGACCCAGCCTGACAGTGCCTGAGAGATGGGGCTGCCCTACGTGGTACCCTGTCATGCCGCGGGACAGGTCGCCCAGCAGACAGTAGCTGTGGCCCCAGTGCCATCCCGGGCTGGAGCCACACGGGTGCCGGACACATTCGTGCCTGTTGTCTGGCTCAGCTGCTGTGGGGAGCCCTCCAGGGCCATGTGCCATGTGTGCCTGCAAGGATCCAACCTGTTCACCGCTGGTCTCACCCCTCGGGTGCTGAGCCACCACAATGGGTGGGGCCATGCCCCCCTCCCAGGCCGGCTTCCACATTTGCCCCTGCAGAGCTTCCCTGTGTTAAGGGCTGGCCGCCTCCTTCCTCAGTGGGTGTAACAGGTAAAAAGCTGCACCCTGGGCAGTATTGGGGCTCCCGCCTGTCATCGCAGCCCTGTGGGAGGCTGCGGCAGGCCGATCACTTGAGCTCATGAGTTCAAGACTAGCTGGGTAACTTGGAGAAACCCCGTCTCTACTAAAAATACAAAAATTAGTTGGGTGTGGTGGTGCGCACCTGCAGTCCCAGCTACTTGGGAGGCTGAGGTGGGAGGATGGCTTGCGCCCAGGAGACAGGCTGCAGTGAACTGCGATCTCGCCTCTTCACTCCAGCCTGGGCAACAGAGCGAGACCTCAAAAAAAAAAAAAAAAAAAAGGTTATGGGCCTTGTGCCTTCTGCCCTTTCATGGGACTGAGCCCTGGAAGTTCTGTGTGGCTGGTGACCCCAGGGGACAGGACCTGGCTCCTCTCTTCTAACCCATGTGGGCCACGGGTCCCTGTCCAGCTGTGCTGGGGCTCACCTGGGGGCCTCCAGCATGCATGCGGGGGATGCTGTGCCCTGGGGTGTCTTTGAGAAAGGGGTGGAGGAGTGTGGAGCCCCTGGGGCTCCCTTGCAGCCGTGAGAAACTCCCCAGTGCCACTTATGTCCTGGACTAGGGAGGGGGTGGGGAGAGGGGGAGGAGTGGCAGACACGGAGGCAGTGACCACACGGGCAGGGTGCAGGTGTGGGGAGGACCTGGCAGGCCCCAGTGCAGTGCTCGGGCAGGCTGGGCCCAGGCCCGGCTGCTGGGCAGGGGTGCCCTTTGGAGGCTGGTCCTTCAGGGATCCCCTCCTGCCTCCTTCCTGGGGGGCGGGCTGGGAAGGTGGGGGCTAGGTGGGCCCGGCGCCGCGGTGCTGATGCTCTCTGTCCCCACAGGAAAGAATCTCTATACAAATGAATACGTGGCTATCAAATTGGTGAGTCGGCCCCTCCACCCCACCCCCGCTGACGTACCCCCAGGGATTTCAGGGCAGCGACCAGTGTCCCCGGTGACTCGCGCTTGTGCCCTCAGGAGCCGATCAAGTCCCGGGCCCCGCAGCTGCACCTGGAGTACCGGTTCTACAAGCAGCTCAGCGCCACAGGTAGCGGGCAGCCCGCGGGTGGGGCGGGGGCTGCGCAGGGGCAGGGAGGGGGCCGCCGCCGCACGCCCGTGCGTCTGTCCTCCGCCGCAGAGGGCGTCCCTCAGGTCTACTACTTCGGCCCGTGCGGGAAGTACAACGCCATGGTGCTGGAGCTGCTGGGGCCCAGCCTGGAGGACCTGTTCGACCTGTGCGACCGGACCTTCACGCTCAAGACGGTGCTGATGATCGCCATCCAGCTGGTGCGCGGCGGGCGGGCGGGCGGGGCTCGGAGGGAAGAGGGTGGCTCTGGAGGGAGCCCGTGAGCTGGGGAGGGGCCTGGCCGACACCGCTTTGCCCCTGCAGATCACGCGCATGGAGTACGTGCACACCAAGAGCCTCATCTACCGGGACGTGAAGCCCGAGAACTTCCTGGTGGGCCGCCCGGGGACCAAGCGGCAGCACGCCATCCACATCATCGACTTCGGGCTGGCCAAGGAGTACATCGACCCCGAGACCAAGAAGCACATCCCGTACCGCGAGCACAAGAGCCTGACGGGCACGGCGCGATACATGAGCATCAACACGCACCTGGGCAAGGGTGAGCTGCGCGCGCGCGGCGGGGGGCGGGCGCCCGGGCCCCGCTGAGGCTGCGCCCCTATTCCCGCAGAGCAGAGCCGCCGCGACGACCTGGAGGCGCTGGGCCACATGTTCATGTACTTCCTGCGCGGCAGCCTCCCCTGGCAGGGGCTCAAGGTAGGCGCAGGGGCCGGGCGGACGGGCGGGGACACAGGCCGGGAACAAGGCTGACCGCGGACCCCCGCAGGCCGACACGCTCAAGGAGCGATACCAGAAGATCGGGGACACCAAGCGCGCCACGCCCATTGAGGTGCTCTGCGAGAACTTCCCAGGTAAGGGGTCCCTGCGTCCCCGCCCCCACCCGGTGCCCCCACCCCCGCCGAGGCCCCGCTGGCACTCTCTCTGCAGAGGAGATGGCCACGTACCTGCGCTACGTGCGGCGCCTGGACTTCTTCGAGAAGCCGGACTACGACTACCTGCGGAAGCTCTTCACCGACCTCTTCGACCGCAGCGGCTTCGTGTTCGACTATGAGTACGACTGGGCCGGGAAGCCCCTGGTAGGTGGGGGGCCCCAGTGTGTGGGGAGGTGGACTAGGAAACCGCCCTGCAGGAGATGGGAACTGGCACTGCAGCCCATCCTGAGCCCTGCTCATTCACCCACAGCCGACCCCCATCGGCACCGTCCACACCGACCTGCCCTCCCAGCCTCAGCTCCGGGACAAAGGCCAGCCGCACAGCAAAAACCAGGTGAGGCCCGGGCGGGACCGACGCCCCAGGGAGGGGCACGGGCGGCCAGCGTGACCCCCTACTGCCCTCGCCAGGCGCTGAACTCCACCAACGGGGAGCTGAACGCGGACGACCCCACGGCTGGTCACTCCAATGCCCCCATCACGGCGCCTGCAGAGGTGGAGGTGGCCGATGAAACCAAGTAAGGCTCCGGGGAGGTGCGGTGCCCTGGGTCCCCATGGGGTGGGAGGGCCTGAGGCCTGGGCTGCCCCCGCACCGCGCTCCTCCTACCTGTGCCACCTCCCTCCCCAGATGCTGCTGTTTCTTCAAGAGGAGAAAGAGAAAATCGCTGCAGCGACACAAGTGACCCCGGGCGCGTGCAGCCCCCCTGAATCTTCTCCGCGCAGCCCCTTGGGGCGAGAGCTTGTGCGAGGCCCTCGGGGCCCACCCACAGCGGCCCAGGGCCAGACCTTGGCCGGAAGCCAGAACGCAGACTGCAGGGGCCGCACCTGGCTCAGCCGGCGGCCCCACCCCCGGGACGTGGGGTCACTTCCTTCACGTAAGACTTTGGCCGAAATTTCTACACCTGTGTCTAGTCCTCCCCTCCAAGAGCATTAACTATTTAAAACAAGGAGAAAAGGAAAAACAGAGGCCCACCTGCCCCCACCGTGCCCTCCGTTTCTTTGCTGAAGTGAGTAGTGTGATATGGGGGCCCCCGGCTGAGGCCCGGCCTGGCCCCGCCAGCCGCCCCCGTTAGCGTCATAAAGTCCAGCTTGTCTCCCTCGATCCAAAGGCCGTTTTCTCGAGGGGAGGGCAGGCCCGGCCTGGAGGGTGCTGTGAGGCTGTCTTGCCCCGGCCCTCCTGGGAGGGGAGAGGCATTGCTGCCAGGGGTGAGGCCGTGCCTCAGGCCTCCCTGAAACCAAAGGGGAAGGCAGGGGTGGGCCCGCGGCGGAAGCCGGCTCCCCAACCAAAATGCTGCACCAAAGCTCGGGCGCCGCAGGCACGGCCACTGCAGCCTCTGACCGGCCTGGCCCCGGCGAGGGGCGGGCGGGCGCTGCCAGGCTGGTGCTTCTCAACGCACTTGCTTCCGGAGGCTGTGCCCCGGCGCCTGGAACCTGAGGTGGGAGGACCAGCTGGTGTCGCCCTGCTCGGCCCTGGGCCCTGTTGCGTGGGGCGTGTGGGCACAGGGCTTCCTGCCTCTGTGCTCCGCCACTCGGCAAGCAGCCGGAGACAAAACGCCTTAAAGCCCCGGCGCAGCCCCGCGGGTGTATGTGCAGGGGCCTGGGGTGGCCCTGGACTGGCGGGCGGTCCCCCAGCGGGGTGCCCTGGAGGCTGCTGGGCAGAGTGAAGCAGCTTGGGGCCGTGCCTAGGGCGGTGGCTGTGAGTCTAGTTTTTGCTTTACCAAGTGTACAGAAATGGTATTTACGTTTCTCTGATGCTCCCTTGAAGCCATAGAATTTAGGGGCTTTTTTTAAAAAATAAAAGAAAAATGAAACCAAACCCAAGTGTAGTGTCTGGACTTTCCACGAAGCTTGACCTGGAGCGGGTAGCGTCTCCATCCCCATCCTGCCCATCCAGGACAAGTCCGGGAGTGGCCGGTGGCCTCCGGTAACAGAAACCAACTCAGGAGGCAGAAGTTTGTAAGGAAGACGGAAGCCGAGGGCAGAGCTGGGCTCTGTCTGGGGAGAGGGCAGGAGACGAGTGTTGGTGGACCATGGAAAGGGGAAGTCACATACATGCAGCTGTGGCCCTGGGGGTCCTGTTCTCTGATGCTACACAAATACACCCGAAAAGCTCAGTGACGGGGCCCAGGCGGGATGGTCCTGGCTGCCTCTGACAGCGGAAGGCCTCCTTGACTCCCTGTGTCCATGCAGCAGGGCGGAAAACATCCCCATAGGGGCCCACGGCACGGTGAAGGGAATCAACAATAGCTCCCGGAAGAACAGTGGAACCTTCAGGCACGTGAAGACCGTGGCAGCGCCAGCCCTGACTCCGTCCCATGCTTTCTCCCCACGCTGCAGCTGCACTGGCAAGGGGAGTGGAGGCAGAAGTCCCCAAATGCCGCGTGGGGTCTTCGTCTCCACCCACTCGTCTCCTGCAAGGCTTCAAAGGGGGAGAGGGCAGCAGAGGGCGGGGCAGGGAGGAAACTCCTCTGCACTCCTCCAGTGACAGCCAAGAAAGCTCACCCTCCCCAGACAAGTCACCAAGAAGCTGAAGGGGACAGAGGTCCCTTCCAGGAAGCACTGAAGACCAGAAACCCATCCTGGATCAGAGACTCAAAAACTAAGCACAGAAATTGACGGCCCTCCGAAAATGAATTCAGGAAGAAAACATCAGAAAAGAATTGGTTTTGGAAATGAATAAATTGCAAGGTGCCCAAGACCCTCATTAAAATCGGAGGAGAGGCACTGAGGGCAGGAAAACAAGATGAAACAAGACGTGAAACTGCCAAACGGCACAGAATCCAGAAGATGAAAGAAGACGGTTAACTGCGGAACACGGCACAGAATCCAGAAGATGAAAGAAGACGGGAAACTGCCAAACACGGCACAGAATGTGGAAGATGAAAGAAGATGGGAAACTGCCGACCACGGCACAGAATCCGAAAGATGGGCCAAGAAGGGCTGGTGTTTGAGTCTTTGAAGAGGTGAAACAGAGCTAGCATTTAAGACTCTTGTCCAAGGAAGCTTTGCAGAAAAAGACCTGAACCTCCCACATGGAACGTACATCTGGGAAAATTAAACCAGAGTGAGCGCGGTGGCTCACACCTGTAATCCCAGCACTCTAGGAGGCTGAGGTGGGCAGATCACCTGAGGCCTCCCACATGGAACGTACATCTGGGAAAAAATTAAACCAGAGTGAGCGTGCCTCACTCGTAATCCCAGCACTCTAGGAGGCTGAGGTGGGCAGATCACCTGAGGTCAGGAGGTTGAGTACCAGCTCCACAACATGTAATCCCAGCACTCTAGGAGGCTGAGGTGGGCAGATCACCTGAGGTCAGGAGCTTGAGACCAGTCTGGCCAATGTAATCCCCAGCACTCTAGGAGGTTGAGGTGGCAAGATCACCTGGAGGTCGTGAGGCTGAGGACCAGTCTGGCCAACATGGAACCTCTGCAGCACCTAGAGGCTGAGGTGGGCAGATCACCTGAGGTCAGGAGTTTGAGACCAGTCTGGCCAACATGGTGAAACCCCGTCTCTACTAAAAATACAAAAATTAGCCAGTCGTGGTGGCACACGCCTGTAGTCCCAGCTACTCAGAAGGCTGAGGCAGGAGAATCGCTTGAACCCGGGAGGCGAGGTTGCAGTGAGCTGAGATCGTGCCACTGCACTCCAGCCCAGGCGACAGAGCAAGACTCCCTCTTCAGAAAAAGACCTTGTCTCAAAAACAAAATTTTTTTTTTTTTTGAGGCGGAGTCTCAGTCTGTCACCCGGGCTGGAGTGCAGAGGCACGATCTGGGCTCACTGCAAGCTCCGCCTCTCAGGTTCACGCTATTCTCCCACCTCAGGATCCAGAGTAGCTGAGATTACAAGGCGCCTACCACCACGTTTGGCTAATTTTGTTTTTGTATTTTTAGTAGAGATGGAGTTTCACCCTGTTAGCCAGGATAGTCTCGATCTGATCTCAGGTGATCCGCCTGCCTCGGCCTCCCAAAGTGCTGGGATTACAGGCGTGAGCCACTGTGCCCGGTGAAAATAACTTTTTTTTTTTTTTTTTGAGACGGAGTCTCGCTCTGTCGCCCAGGCTGGAGTGCAGTGGCTGGATCTCAGCTCCACTGTAAGCTCCGCCTCCCGGGTTTATGCCATTCTCCTGCCTCACCCTCCCGAGTAGCTGGGACTACAGGCGCCCGCCACCTCGCCTGGCTAGTTTTTTGTATTTTTTAGTAGAGACGGGGTATCACCGTGTTAGCCAGGATGGTCTTGATCTCCTGACCTTGTGATCCGCCCGTCTTGGCCTCCCAAAGTGCTGGGATTATAGGCTTGAGCCACCGCACCTGGCTGAAAATAATTTTTTTAAAGGTGAGACCAAGGGTGGAATACCAGTACCACTGTAATACGTTGTGACAAAGCAGAAATAATGCACCTGTAAGAGTCAGATGGCAAGAGGGAAATGGGCTGATCCCATCAATGGTTTTCCCAGCAGTAGCTTGAGGATAAGGAGTGCCTGTCATGTGTTTTATCTACTTACCCACATGTTCACCGTTTTCTGATGTTCTTCATTTCTTCTTGCTGATCAGAGATTACATCTGGGATAATTTCCTTTCAGCCTGAAGAACTTCTTCAGTATTTCTTACAGTGCCGCTTGCTTTTTTGTTTGTTTTGTTTTTTTCTTACAGTGCCGCTTTGCTTTTTTGTTTGTTTTGTTTTTTTTTGTTGTTGTTTTTTTTTTTTTTTTTGACAGAGTCTGGCTCTGTCCCAGGCTGAGTGCAGTGGCCGATCTCAGCTCACTACAAGCTCCGCCTCCTGGGTTCACGCCATTCTCCTGCCTCCTGCCTGAGTGGCTGGGACTATGGTGTTGGCGCCTGCCACTCCGCCGGCTAGCTTTTGTTTTTAGTGAGACGGGGTTTCACCAGGTTGGGCCAGGATGGTCTCGACCTCCTGACCTCGTGATCTCGCCCGGCCTCGGCCTCCCAAAGTGCTGGGATGGCAGGCTTGAGGCCACTGCGCCTGCCTTTTGTTTGTTTTTTGAGACAGATTCTTGTTTGTCGCCCAAGCTGAGAGCAGTGGTGAGATCTCGCTCACTGGCAAAGCTCCGCCTCCTGGGTTCACGCCATTCTCCTGCCTCAGTCTCCCAAGTAGCCGGGACCACAGGCATCCACCACCATGCCTGGCTAATTTTTTTTTTTTTTTTTTTTTTTTTGAGACGGAGTTCCTCTGTCGCTCAGGCTGAGGCAGTGGCCGATCTCAGCTCACTGCAAGCTCCACCTCCTGGGTTCACGCCATTTTCCTGCCTCAGCCTCCCGAGTAGCTGGGACTACAGGCGTCCGCCACCTCACCCGGCTGTTATTTTTTTTTTTAGTAGAGACGGGGTTTCACCGTGTTAGGGCCAGGATGGCCTTGATCTCCTGACTCTTGCCATGATCCGCCCGCCTCGCCTCCCAAAGTGCTGGGATTACAGGCTTGAGCCACCGTGCTCCGCCTTTTTTTTTTTTTTTTTTAAATCGAGACAGGGTTTCATCCGTTAGCCAGGAGAGTCTTGATCTCTACCTCGTGGATCTGTCACCCCGCCTTCCAAAGTGCTGGGATTACAGGCATGAGCCACTGCACGTGGCTTTTTTTTTTCTTTCTTTTCTTTTTTTTGAGACAAGAGTCTCTCTCTGTCTCCCAGGCTGGAGGCAGGTCACAATCTCGGCTCACTGCAATGTCCGCCTCCCAGGTTAAAGTGATTCTCCTGGCTCAGCCTCCCAAGTAGCTGGGATTACAGGCACCGCCACCATGTCTGCCATTTTTTATATTTTTATAGAGACGGGGGTTTAACCATGATGGCCAGGCTGGTCTCGAACTCGTGACCTCAGGTGATCACCTGCCTCGGCCTCCCAAAGTGCTGGGATTGCAGGCGTGAGCCACCATGCCCAGCCTGTCATTTTTGAATGGATGCTGGACATTATAAATGACAGATGGTGGAAGCTGGTGCTGATGTGTCTTCACAGGGCTGTGTTTCTTTGGCAGGGGCCAGTGTAACAGCAGCTCACTGAGACTCCCACCAGGGTTTTGTTTTGGAGGATGAGGGCTTGTTTCAGTTCTGTCCTCCCAGGTGTTGCCCTAGCTCCTGGTGTGTGGCTCCTTTCTGATGTCTTCATTTAGAAGTCAAGGTTCCTTCTAATATGTATTTTTGTAGAGATGGGGTCTTGCTGTGTTGCCCAGGCTCGAACTCCTGGTTCCAAGCAGTCCTGCCTCAGCCTCCCAAAGTGCTGGGCTTGCAGGTGTGAGCTTACTCACGCTTGGCCCTCAGGGTGTTCAGCAAGGCCCTTACCCCGCCAGGCTCCATCTCCAGCTCTTCTTCCCAGCAGCACACACTGCAAATCTGCTCAGCCTTTCAGCCTCCTGGCAACTGTTTGCTGCTGGGTTTTAGACGGAGTCTTGCTTTCTCACCGAGGCTGGAGTGCAGTGGCACCATCTCGGCTCACTGCAACCTCCACCTGCCAGGTTAAAGCGATTCTCCTGCCTCAGCCTCCCAAGTAGCTGGGATTACAGGTGCCCGCCACCACGCCTGGCTAATTTCTGTGTTTTTAGGAGACGATTTCACCATGCCGGCCAGGCTGGTCTTGAACTCCTGACCTCAGGTGATTCACCTGCATTGGCCTCCCAAAGTGCGGGATTACAGGTGTGACACCGGCCCGGCCTTGCTGCCGGTTTCTTGTTATCTTGCCCCTGCATGTGTGCCTTGAGGCAGCAGCTAACAGCTTGACTCCTCTGGCTATCGAGGAGCAGAACTGAGACTTCTCTAAGCTTTCTGTCTCACATCCACGGTCTCAGCAGCAGCAGGACTTCCCTACTTGAAAATCGGGCGCACACTTTCCATTGCATTTGGGTTGGGGGAGTGTGTTGGGTCATGGTCTTGCTTGCCCAGGTGGAGGGCAGTGAGCAACTACTGCTCACTGCAGTCCCGACTCTCCCGGCTTAAGCTGGGCTGTGGTACTCGAGGAGGTCTTCATGGTGCTGGCGAACCAATCAGGGGTTCAGGCCTCTCCAGAGCACACACATCCTCACCCACTGTAGCCTGACAGCGGCGGAGAGTGAAGGAGTGAAGGAGAGAAGCAGCATGCGCCAGGGCAGGTGTGTTTGTTTCTTTATTTAAAAATCATCTGGGGTGGTCGGAGGAGGCCACCTCCCATGGCTTTGGGGAGGACGAGGTTCCAGGAGTCACAGGGCAGAAATGCAGGGTGGTGGGGGCGGGCCTGGGGTGGGGGAGGGGCTGTGCCCCCCAGCACCTGGGGGTGGCTCCCGCGTACCAGGCAGGCTAGGCAACGAGTATGTACAGGCAAGCAGTGCTCCTGACCCGGTCGGCCAGCTGAGCCCCATCTCAGGCAGGGGAGCTTGGGGCAGGGTCTGAGTCCCACGCTGGGCTGCAGCAGCTACGCAGGGCCGTCCAGGGAGGTTGGATAGCGGGCCTTGGGCTGGGCCTCCATCAGGTGGATGAGAACGGACACTGCAAACCGCCACCACCTGGGCCAGGGCTAGGCTCATCCAGCCGGGGCCATTACCACACTGAGTCCTCTCGCGGAACTCAGGCCAGCATCCAGGCAGGGAAATACCCTGCAGGCTGGGGGTTGGGTGGCCTCGGGCATGTGACAGGTGGGGCCTCAGTCCTAAATAAACGACAGGAACAAAAAGGAATGCAAGGTCTGGAACCCATGGCTCTGGGAGTGTGCCACCAGGCTGGCTCCTAGCAGAGAAATGGGAATCGCAGTCGCATTGCAATGTGCAGTGAAGAAACGTGGGACGCGCTGCACGCCTCGGCCAGACGACGCGGCAGGCGCCCTGAGCAGTGGGCCCGTGGGCCCTGGCCCCAGTCCTGAGGGATTGTCTCCACAGGGCCTGGCCACCCGGACTCCAGCCACCTCCTGGCTGCCCTGATCCAGCAGCCACACTCGTGGTGGTGAATACAGGCAACCTCTTCCTGATGCTGAGAAAGGTGGCGGACTAGACAGATGGCCCGGGGAACACTGGGCCTGGCGCCACGTGGGGGCCCCAGCAGATGAGGTCGGGCTGCGGCTGTCCCCATGGAGGGAGGGCGACGGCAGGGCAGCCCAGGTGTAGATGACTCGGGCCCCAGTGGTCCCCACAGAGGGAGGGTGAGGCCGGGTGGCCCAGGTGTAGAAGATGACCTTAGCCCCAGCCTTCCCCGCACAGGGCGGCCGGTGTCAGGCAGCCCAGGTGTAGAAGATGACCTCGATCTGGGCCGCCCTCCACGGATGTGCCATTGTTGTTCCCGGCTGCGTAGCAAAAGGTGAAGCAGGTCTTGGCACTCCGTGGTGGCGACCTGTGTCACCTTGCGCAGGCCTTTGGTGCCGTAGTGGGAGTCTGGGCCCTGTGGGAGATGGGGTACAGTGAGGTCAAGGACTACGAGGCCGGGATGCCCCAGGTGTGGATACAGGGCGAGGCCCCAACTGGGCCAGGGTGGCCACGCCTGAGGAGTGTCAGCCAGGCCTGGGGGTCTCAGGATGGGCCAGAGACTCCACGGAGGGACTCCCACTCCCCAGCGGTGCACCTTGAGCGTGGCGCAGGCTGTGTAGTTGACGCAGCAGCACCTCCACTGCTTCCTGAACATGACATGAAGGTGCTGGCTTGAGTCAGTCGCAGCTGAACCCGTGTCGCTCTGGCCCAGGACGGTGTTGCTGTTTGTGTGGAATAATCTGCAGGAGTGTGGAGGCTCAGGCCTGGGGAGGGCTGACAGGGACCCCTCGAGGCCCAGCCCACCTGCCCAGGGTGGGTAGTGCAGGGACCAGGGCCGGGGGTTCGGCCAGGTTCCACGGAGGTGGGGGACAGGACGCCGGCTGAAGTGCAGCTTGGGGGAGGCAGCTTGGGACAGGTACCTGATGTTCACTTGAGTCAGGCCCGCATGATCCGTACAGCCCAATCCTACCACACTTAAGATGCGCTGTTGACTGAGAACTCTGCCGGGTGCAGATGGGCCAGGCAGCCACGTGGATGCCCAGGGATCGGCCTAAGGTGAGCTGGGCTGGCCTCCACCCCCACCTCTGTTATCCCTGAGTTCTCCACCCCCATGCCCAGTAACACCACACTGTGCCTTCATCATCCCTGAGTCCTCTCACCCCCATGCTTGCCCCCATCTCCATCATCCCTGAGTCCTCCACCCCCATGCCTGGAACTCCCCGCCTTCATCATCCGAGTCCTCCACCCCATGCCCAGCCCTTTCGCTTTCACATCCCGAGTCCTCCACTCCCATGCCCAGCAGCCCCCCGCCCCCATCCCTGAGTCCTCCACCCCCATGCCCATCCTCCCCCTGCCTCTGTCATCCCTGAGTCCTCCACCCCCATGCCCGTCCTTTTCCCGCTATCATCCCTGAGTCCTCCACCCCCTATGCCCGCCCCGCTCCATCATCCCTGAGTCCTCCACCTCTCTATGCCCGCCTGCTCTCCCATCATCCTGAGTCCTCCACCTCATGCCCGGACCCCCCCGCCCTATCCCTGAGTCCTCCAATTCCCATGCCCGTCCTTCCCCCGCTTTATCATCCCTGAGTCCTCCACCCCCACGCCGACTTCTGCTTCCATCATCCCTGAGTCCTCCACCTCCATGCCTGCCCCCACCTCCGTCATCCCTGAGTCCTCCAACCAACCCCAAGCCCGACCCTGCTTTCATCATCCCTGAGTCCTCCACCCCCTATGCCCGCCCCCGTGCCTCCATCATCCCTGAGTCCTCCACCCCCATGCCTGGCCCTTCCCGCTTTCATCATCCCTGGATCTCCACCCCATGCCCGTCCTTCCTCTGCCATCATCCCTGAGTCCTCCACCCTATGCCCGCCTTGCCTCCATCATCCCTGAGTCCTCCACCTCCATGCCCGCCCCGCCTCCATCATCCCTGGGAGTCCTCCACTCCCACGCCCGGACTTCTGCCTCCATCATCCCTGAGTCCTCCACCCATGCCCGCCCCGCTCCATCGCCCATCATCCCTGAGTCTCCTCCATCTCCATGCCCGCTTCTCTATCATCCCTGAGTCTCTACCTCCATGCCCGCCCCGTCCCATCATCCCTGAGTCCTCCACCTCCATGCCCGACCCCAGCTTTCATCATCCCTGGAGTCCTCCACTCCCCCATGCCCGCCCGCCTCCATCATCCCTGAGTCCCACCTCCATGCCCGCCCGCTCCATCATCCCTGAGTCCTCCACCTCCATGCCCGCCCCGCCTCCATCATCCCGTGAGTCCTCCACCTCCATGCCCGCCCCGCTCCATCATCCCTGAGTCCTCCACCTCCATGCCCGCCCCCCCGCCTCCATCATCCCTGAGTCCTCCACCTCCATGCCCGGACCCCCAGCTTTCATCATCCCTGAGTCCTCCACCCCCTATGCCCGACCCCCCGCCTCCATCATCCCTGAGACCTCCACCCCATGCCCGGCGCCCCCCACCTGCACCCCGAGCCCCACCTGATGCGGTCGCTGGTCCCGCTGTAGCCCCAGCGACTCTCCACCTGCTGGAAGCGGTTGATGCTGCACTCCTTCCCACGCAGGCAGCAGCGGGGCCGGTCAATGAACTCCACTCGCGGCTTGGGGTTCACGGTGAAGTGCAGGAAGAGGCTGACCACCTCGCGGTCCACCAGGATGCCCGACTGTGCTGGGCCTGTGGTACAGTGAGGGCGTGGGGGAGGGCCCGGAAGGACACGCTCCTTCTCCCTAAGATGGCTGCGTCGGACTTTCAAGGTGCAGGGACCTGGGCAGCCCCTCCCCGGGGGACCAGCCATCAGCCACAGCCCCTGCTGCCTGGGCTTTTGGAGAGAGGTCCCAGGGCAGAGACCAGAGGCTGACAGATACGCTCACTCAGGGGCGATATCTCAGGGTCTGGCCCCGTCGTAGGGACCACCCGTGACTTCACTGTGGGAGGGGGGACTCCACTGCCTGTTCTCTCAGGGCCATTGGCTGGGAAGGGTCACTGCAGCTCCCCGATAGGCCTGTACCCCCCAGGCTGCAGCCCTGGCTTCTAGAAACAGCCTTGGGGGTTCCTCTCCATGTGGGGCCTAGGCGGCCACCTTCCAAAGCGCTTACGCCCCCAGGGGTGATGGCTAGCACACGCCAGGCAGGCTCCAAGAGCCAGGCTCTTAATCCCAGTGGGGAGAGGTGACAGGCAGAAGGGCCATGCATGGGATACGAAGGCGCTCCGGGCAGGGAGGGGTGGCTGGGGGGGCAGAACTGGGGCTCCACCATCCACCTCCAGGAGTGCCGGGACACGGTGAGCACCCTCTGCTCTGATGAGAGCAGCCCCGCCCACCTGAGACCTAATCACTCATCAGCCAAGGTGGGCTCAATTCTGCATCCCTCAGCTGCAAGTCAGCCCAACGCACAGTTTAATAACTGGCGAGAAACAGACCATTATGGGTTAAGTGAATTAGGAAGGCTGAGTATCAGAACTGAATAAACGATGTTAACCATTTTTTTTTTTTTGAGACTGACTTTTGCTCTTGTTACCCAGGCTGGAGTGCAATGGCGTAATCTTGGCTCACTGCAACATCCATCTTCCGGGTTCAAGCAGTTCTTCTGCCTCAGCCTCCCGCGTAGCTTAGTTTACAGGCACCTGCCACCACGCCCAGCTAATTTTGTATTTTCAGGAGAGATGGGGTTTCACCCTGTTGGTCAGTCTGATCTCGAACTCCCGACCTCAAGTATTCCCCCCCCACCTTGGCCTCACAAAGTGCTGGGATTACATGTGAGAATGACCAAGCCTGGCCAACGATTTTTTTTTTTTTTTTTTGGAGACGGAGTTTCACTCTTGTTGCCCAGGCTGGAGTGCAGTGGCATGATCTCGGTTCACCACAACCTCCGCCTCCTGGGTTCAAGCAATTCTCCTGCCTGCCTCAGCCTCCCGAGTAGCTGAGATTACAGGTGCCCGCCACCACACCCGGCTGATCAACAATTGTATTCTTAAAAAGTGTATATCTGGCCAGGCTTGGTGGCCCACGCCCATAATCCTAGCACTTTGTGAGGCCAAGGTGGGAGGATGGCTGGAGCCCAGTTCATGAGCAGCCCGGGCAACATAACAAAACCCTGTCTCTACAAAAAATACAAATATAAGCCTTGTGTAGTGGTGGCACCTGTGATCCTAGCTACTCTGGAGTCTTAAGCAGGAGGATCACTTGAGCCCAGGAGGTCGAGGCTGCAGTGAGCTGTGACTGCACCACTGCACCCCAGCCTGGGCGACAGACTGAGACCCTGTTGCTAAGTCTGGCGACCTTCAGTCAAGCGAGAGCAGAGGCCGTGTGGACCTGGGGAAGGCCAGATGGCGAGTGTGCACCAGCCACAGGGATCTGTCCCAGCCCCTTATGGAACGTTCCAGGCCTGTTTTGCTCCAGAGCTGGATGGTGTCAGGCAGTGAGCAGCCACAAGAGGGCAGGAGGCATCATTAGGGCTGCCCCTCACGTCACCCTAGAGGCCAGGCCCTGCGGCAGGGGACCCCAAGGCCCACTCATGGGAGCACGACAGCTGCCCCGGCCATGTCAGAGCCTTCCTGGGCTTGTCGTGGACACTGGTACCTGCACCAGCAGGTAGCACAAGAGCCTGAGACAGGGACTCCCTTCCCTCCTGGGGAGATGCCACCAAAACATAGCTGGATGGACATGGGGGGCGGGGGTCTGGCAATGCGTACAGTGGGTACAGAGCAGCCAGGCCGGGGCTAACGGCCCTGTGGACGTGCCCTCACAAGCCAGGTTTCTTCCTATCTTTATACTCTAGGCATCTGCCAGGCTTTCTGCAGTGAACTTCGGGGCGCTATCCTCGGTACCCAGGTGCCCACCTGTGTGCCACTCCCCCCTCAAGCCAGCCTGAGCCCCTGAGCTCTGTTACCTGCAGCAAACTCCTCGATGGTCATGAGTGGGAAGCGGATGAGGCCCAGGGCCTTGCCCAGAACCTTCCGCCTATTTTCCGGTGTCACCTGCAGCTGCTGCCGCTGACACTCGGCCTCAGACCAGCGGACAACGGCATTGAACAGCCGCACCTCACGGATGCCCAGTGTGTCGCGCTCCAGGACGGCCACCAGCGTGTCTGCGGGGTGGAGGAAGGGGCTGTGTGAACATGACACCCTGCCCACCCTGCAGGAGGCAGTGAGACTAACGTGAGGACCAACAGTTAAAGCCGGGCTGGCAACTATGGCCCGTGGCCCAAACCTGGCCCTGTGCTTGTGTTTATAAATAAAGCTTTATCGACACATGACCATGCCCCTTCATTTTCCTAGGCTGTGGTTGCTTTTAGCCACAAGGACAGACTTGAGTAGCTTTGACAACAGCTGTTTAACAACAAAGTTAAAACCATGGGCCATCGGAGGACAAGACGGTCACCATCAGCTGGGATGGTGAGGTCTGGCCTGTGGCCTCCCGGCCAAGGCCCCAGACTCCCCTGGGGCTGTGCTGGACCCGAGCTCCTGACCCACTGCAAGTGGTGTGACCCCAGCTCACCGGTGCAGCTCCCCCAGGGAACCCCCAGGCCCAAAGCTCCCACTGTCGATCCCCAGACCCTCCTGCCAAGGCCCTGCTGGGAGTCCCACACCTGGGCCCCTGGACCCTTACCCAGGTCAATGTCGGTGAAGCCCTCCGCGGTGATGGCATCTGCGGTGTTTTTGTCAATGTTCTCCAGGCACAGGCTGGCCAGCTGTGGTTCATCGAAGAGTCGCGCCTGGCAAGAGACATCAATGGGGGCGTGGGGGGGACATCAGCACCCAGCCCTCGGCAAATCCCCAATGCGGAGCTGGCTCAAATGCAGCCCTGACCGCACGGGCCTTCCTGAGCGTGGCCAGGAGCCACCGGGGTCTCAGCCACCAGGCCAGCCCTGCCGTGGGCCCAGAGACCCCCGCGTGACTGCTGAGTGGGGCGGGAGAGTTGGGGAGTTCCCTCTCAGAACCTCAGAGGCCAAGGAAGGAAGAAAAAGATGCTCAGGTCCCTGTCGGCAGGGCCTGCTGCTTTAGGCAAAAGGGGCACTGCAGCTGCACTTGGGGGGCAGCAGGGCCCAGGACCCCGAGTGGCAGGCAGAGGTGAGGCGGCCAGGGTCGACCCGGTGAAGCTTCCGGATCACAACACGCCCTTGGCCACCTGTGGTGGGAGGGCTGTGTCCCTGGCAGCTCCATCCCAAGACACACAGCAGACATGACTCCTGACAGGTGACAGAGCTGGACATCGCCTGTGCTCTCAGGGAAACTGAGGCTGTTAGTGGAAGGTGCTGGAAGGGCCTATGCCAGCAGGGACGCAGGCAGGCCTTTCTGCAGGCATTTCCCCCGAAGACACCTCTCAAGCGGGTTTGCAGTGGTTTTAGGAGCAGGGAGGCTGAGGCAGCCACAAGGTGAAGCTCAGGGCGTGAACTCCAGGCACCTCTCAGGTCAGGTAGAGGCCCCTCCAGCAAGGCGACCACAGATGACCCGGACAAGAAACCCCTCCCTCTGGGAGTCCAGGATCCTCTGCATCTGACCTGCCAGGTTGGAGAGGGAGAAGGTTCTGGGTCTTTTCCAGGATGCTGGACCCCTGAAGCCCATTGGAGGACCTAGTGCTGCTGTCCCCTCTGGCCGCCCTCCACCCCCGACCAGGAGCTCACAGCTCCCAAGCGGCCGTCCACCTGTCCTGGCCCCATGTCCTCTGAGCCTCCCTGGCCTGCAGGCCCTCCCCAGCTCCCACCCGTTGGGCTGCACAGAGCCCAACTGGGGTCCCCTGAGATCCCCGGCCCTGCTCTGTCTACCTGACATTTCCTTAGAGAGAGACGGAAAGTTCTCTCTTTTTTTTTGGTTTCTTTTTCTTTAGCCAGGCGTGGTGGTGGGGGCCTGTAATCCCAGCTACTCTGGAGGCTGAGGCAGGAGAATCGCTTGAACCCTGGAGGTGGAGGTTGCAGTGAGCTGAGATCATGCCATTGCACTCCAGCCTGGGCAACAAGAGAAACCCGTCTCAAAAAAAAAAATTATTTTACTTTTTTTGAGAGACAGGGTCTCACTCTGTCACTCAGGCTGGAGTGCAGTGGCGCCACCTCCACTCACCGCAGCCTCAACCTCCTGGGCTCAGGCAATCTTCCTGCTTTGGTGCCCCAGGTAGCTGAGATTACAGACACGCACCACCATGCTTGGCTAATTTATGAAAAAAAATTTTTTTTTTTTTTAGTAGAGATGGGGTTTTACCATGTTGGCCAGGCTGGTCTCAAACTCTTCGCCACTAGTGATCTGCCTGTCTCAGCCTCCCAAAGTGCTGGGATTACAGGCATGAACCACTATGCCCAGCCTGTATCTTTTTTCTATTTTTTGTAGAAATGGGGTCTCCCTATGTTGCCTAGTCTGGTCTAGAACTCCCGGCCTCAAGCAATCCTCCCTCCTCGGCCTCCCAAAGTGCTGGGGTTACAGGCATGAGCCACCGCACCCTGCCAATAACTTTTTAAAGTATCACAGAAAAGTCCAAGGCACATTTTTTTTTTCAGGTGGAGTCTCGCTTTGTTGCCAGACTGGAGTGCAGTGGTGCAATCTCGGCTCACTACAACCTCCGCCTCCCAGGTTCAAGCGATTCTCCTGCCTCAGCCTCCCGAGTAGCTGGGATTACAGATGACCGCCACCACTCCCGGCTCCTTTTTGTATTTTTAGTAGAGACGGGATTTCGCCATGTTGGCGAGGCTGGTCTGGAACGCCTGACCTCAGGTGATCCGCCCGCCTCAGCCTGCTCCCAATGTGCCGGGATTACAGGCGTGAACCACAGCGCACGGCCCAAAACACATTTTACTACCAGGCAGGATCCTGCTGCCTCCAGGGCCCGCCCCGGCCCCGCCTCCAGCCCGGGCCCGCCCACACCCCGTCCCGCCTCCAGCCAGGCCTGGCCCCGGCCCCGCCCCGTGCCGGCCCCGCCCCGTGCCGGCCCCGCCCCGTACAGATGACCGCCACCACTCCCGGCCTTTTGTATTTTTAGTAGAGACGGGATTTCGCCATGTTGGCGAGGCTGGTCTAAACGCCTGACCACAGTGATCCCGCCCGCCTGTGCCTGCTCCTCCCAATGTGCCGGGATTACAGGCGTGAACCACAGCAAGACGTCTAAACACATTACTACCAGGCAGGATCCTGCTGCCTCCAGGGCCCGCCCCCCGCTCCAGCCCGGTCCGCCACCCCCTTGGCCCTGCCTCCAGCCAGGCCTGGCCCTTGCCCGCCTCAGCCGGCTTCGCTTCAAAATAGTCTCAGCCTAAAAGCCGGGCCCGGCCCCGCCCCGTGCCGGCCCCGCCCCGTGCCGGCCCCGCCCCGTGCCGGCCCCGCCCACCTGCGTGAGCAGCATGAAGGCGTTGTCGGCTCGCAGGTTCTTCTTCAGGAACTCCACGCAGTGGGCCTCCAGCGCTGGCACCGCGTACTTCTTGGCGGTGTATAGCGTGGTCATCACCGTCTCCGGGCCGATCTGCACCTCGTCCGAGTAGAGAAACCTGCAGAGCCAACGCGGGTGGCCGTGAGATGGAACCGCCATGCCCGCCCCCAGGGGAGGGCGTCAGAGGACCACTCAGACCGTTAGACCTGGCCGCCTGCCCTTGAGCCTGCAGGGCCCAAACGCCCCACATCAGGCTCCCCGAGGAACCTTCCAGAATTAGCCCTTGTCTGTTGCCCTCTGACCTAGGGACACGACTTGGCAAGGCAGTCACCCATGAAAACAAGAGGCTGGGCCGGGCGCGGTGGCTCAAGCCTGTAATCCCAGCACTTTGGGAGGCCGAGACGGGCGGATCACGAGGTCAAGAGATCGAGACCATCCTGGCGAACACGGTGAAACCCCGTCTCTACTAAAAAATACAAAAAAACTAGCCGGGCGAGGTGGCGGGCGCCTGTAGTCCCAGCTACTCGGGAGGCTGAGGCAGGAGAATGGCGTAAACCCGGGAGGCGGAGCTTGCAGTGAGCTGAGATCCGGCCACTGCACTCCAGCCTGGGCAACAGAGCCAGACTCCATCTCAAAAAAAAAAAAAAAAAACTTTTTGTTTGTTTTGTTTTGTTTTGTTTTGTTTGAGACAGGATCTGGCCCAGGCTGGTGCAGTTGCAAACACCCTTGGAGCCTCACCTCAGGCCTGCTGCATCCTCCCAGCTCAGCCTTCCAAGTCTCTGGGACCAGAGACATGCACCACCACACCCAGCTAATTGTTTTGGGTGTGTTTTTTTTTTTCTTAGGTAGAGATAGGTTGCCTTGTCTGGCTCTGTTGTCCAGGCACTTTAGGAGGATGAGGTGGGCAAGTGACCCTGGGATTACAGGTATGAGTTACCATGCTGGGCCGAGTGCAGCTTTGGTGCTAATAAATTACCAATTATCTCTGTAGCTGCTCCCTGAAAAATACTGATTTCACCTTCTTTCTTAATAAGGATGTTTTTGGCTGAGGCATCTCCAGGTTGACAGAGTGTGACAGGGTCTCGGCTCAGTTACTTCCAGGTTAGAGTACAGCGGCACGATCTCTGCTCACTGCAGCTCCGCCTCCCAGGCTGCTACAGTTCTCCTGCCTCAGCCTCCCGAGTAGCTGGGATTACAGGCGCCCGCCACCATGCCTGATAATTTTTATGTTTTTAGTAGTCGGGCCTGCCATACAGCCAGGCTGGTCTGAATCCCTGACCTCTGATCCACTCCGCCTCGCCTCCCAGAAGTGCTGGGGATTACAGGCGTGAGCCACGTGCCCTGCTGACGAAGTTTGTTGGTCAGGCGCAGTGGCTCAAGCCTGTAATCCCAGCACTTTGGGAGGCCGAGACGGGCAGATCATGAGGTCAGGAAATCGAGACCATCCTGGCCAACATGGCAAAACCCCGTCTCTACTAAAAATACAAAAAACTAGCCGGGCGCCGTGGCGGGCGCCTGTAGTCCCAGCTCCTCGGGAGGCTGAGGCAGGAGAATGGCCTGATCCTGGGAGGCGGAGCTTGCGGTGAGCCGAGATCGCACCACTGCACTCCAGCCTGGGCAGCAGAACGAGATGCCATCTTAAAAAAAGATATGTGGGCTCAACGTGCCTTTCATTCATTTTGGAAAATTCTTGGCTATCATATACCTTGAGCGTTTCTTCGCTCTGGGACTCACTTACACACACATTAGACCCTTTGTGCCACATATCTGTGTTCTGTTTGTCCACTGTTTTTAGTCGCTGTGCTTCACCTTTGCATGTTTTGGTTTGTTTTGTTTTTTTGTTGTTGTTGTTTTTTTTTTTTTTTGAGACGGAGTCTGGCTCTGTCGCCCAGGCTGGAGTGCAGTGGCCGGATCTCAGCTCACTGCAGCTCCGCCTCCCGGGTTCACGCCATTCTCCTGCCTCAGCCTCCCGAGTAGCTGGGACTACAGGCGCCCGCCACCTCGCCCGGCTAGTTTTTTTGTATTTTTAGTAGAGACGGGGTTTCACCGTGTTAGCCAGGATGGTCTCGATCTCCTGACCTCGTGATCCGCCCGCCTCGGCCTCCCAAAGTGCTGGGATTACAGGCTTGAGCCACCGCGCCCGGCCTTTTGTTTGTTTTTGAGACAGATTCTTGCTCTGTTGCCCAAGCTGGAGAGCAGTGGAGAGATCTCGGCTCACTGGCAAGCTCCGCCTCCTGTTCACGCCCTCCCGCTCCCCAGTCTCCCTCTAAGTAGCCGGGACCACAGGCATCCACCACCATGCCTGGCTAATTTTTTTTTTTTTTTTTTTTTGAGACGGAGTCTTGCTCTGTCACTCCAGGCTGAGTGCAGTGGCCGGATCTCGGTCACGGCAAGCCCACCTCCCGGGTTCACGCCATTCTCCTGCCTCAGCCTCCCGAGTAGCTGGGACTACAGGCGCGCCACCGCCGCCCGGCTAGTTTTTTTTTTTTTTTTTTTTTTTCTTTTTTTAGTAGAGACGGGGTTCACGGTGTTAGCCAGGATGGTCTTGATCTCCTGACCTCATGATCTCGCCCGTCTCGGCCTCCCAAAGTGCTGGGATTACAGGCTTGAGCCACCGCGCCCGCCTAAACGAGACAGGGTTTCATCCTGTTAGCCAGGATAGTCTTGATCTCCTTACCTCGTGATCTGCTCACCTCGCCTTCCAAAGTGCTGGGATACAGGCACGAGCCACTGCACGTGGCTTTTTTTTTTTCTTTTTTTTTGAGACAAGAGTCCTCTGTCTCCCCAGGCTGGAGTGCAGTGTCACACCTCGGCTCACTGCAATGTCCGCCTCCCAGGTTCAAGTGATTTCCTGCCTCAGCCTCCCAAGTAGCTGGGATTACAGGCACCGCCACCATGCCCGGCTAATTTTTATACTTTTATAGAGACGGGTTTAACCATGATGGCCAGGCTGGTCTCGAACTCGTGACCTCAGGTGATCACCTGCCTCAGCCTCCCAAAGTGCTGGGATTGCAGGCGTGAGCCACTCATGCCCAGCCTGTCATTTTGAATGGATGCTGACATTATAAATGACAGATGGTGTAGGTTGGTGCTGATGTGTCTTCACAGGGCTGTGTTTCCTTTGGCAGGGGCCAGTGTAACAGCAGCTCACTGAGACTCTACCACAGGGTTTTGTTTGAGTGATGAGGGCTTGCTTCAGTTCTGTCCTTCCCCAGGGGTGTTGCCCTAGCTCCTGGTGTGTGGCTCCTTCTGATGTCTTCATTAGAAGCCCCAAGTGTCCTTCTAATATGTATTTTTGTAGAGATGGGGTCTTGCTGTGTTGCCCAGGCTCGAACTCCTGGTTCCAAGCAGTCCTGCCTCAGCCTCCCAAAGTGCTGGGCTTGCAAGGGTGTGAGCTACCACGCTGGCCCTCAGGGTGTTCAGCAAGGCCCCCTTACCCCGCCAGGCTCCATCTCCATTGCTCTCTTCCCAGCAGCACACACTGCAAATCTGCTCTCAGCCTTCAGCCTCCTGGCAACTGTTTGTTGCTGCTTTTTTTTTTTTAGACGGAGTCTTGCTTTCACCGAGGCTGGAGTGCAGTGGCAGACCATCTCGCTCACTGCAACCTCCACCTGCCAGGTTAAAGCGATTCTCCTGCCTCAGCCTCCCAAGTAGCTGATTACAGGTGCTCCGCCACCACGCCTGGCTAATTCTTGTGTTTTTAGTGGAGACGGGATTTCACCATGTCGGTCAGGTTGGTCTTGAACTCCTGACCTCAGGTGATTCACCTGCATTGGCCTCCCAAAGTGGGATTACAGGTGTGAGCCACCGGCCCGGCCTTGCTGCCGGTTTCTTGTTATCTTGCCCTGCATGTGTGTTCCCTGAGGCAGCAGCCAACAGCTTGACTCCTCTGGCCATCGAGGCCAGAACTGAGCACTTCCTGCTTTCTCTGTCCCTCACATCCACGGTCCCCTCAGCAGCTAGCAGACCTCCCACGTGAAAATCGGCGCACACTTCCATTGCATTTGGGTTGGGGGGAGGTGTTGGGTCAGGGTCTTGCTCTTGCCCAGGTGGGAGGGCAGTGGTGCAATCACTGCTCACTGCAGTCCCGACCTCCCGGGCTTAAGCGTGGGCTGGTACTGAGAGGGTCTCGGCGGTGATGGCGAACCAGACCCAGGGTTCAGGCCTCTCCAGAGCACAACATCCCTCACCCACTGTAGCCTGACAGCGGGGCGGGAGAGTGAAGGGGAGGGGAAGGGAGAGAAGCAGCATGCGCTCAGGGCAGGTGTGTTTGTTTCTTTATTTAAAAAATCATTCTGGGGTGGTCGGAGGAGGACACCCCTCCCATGGCTTTGGGGAGGACGCAGGTTCCAGGAGTCACGTGGGCAGAAACACGCAGGGTGGGTGTGGGGCGTGGCCTGGGGTGGGAGGGGCTGTGCCCCCCAGCACCTGGGGTGGCTCCCGCGGCACCAGGCAGGCTAGGGCACGATATGTATGAGGCAAGCAGTGCCCCTGACCCGGGCCGGGCCAGCTGAGCCCCATCCTGCGGCAGGAGCTCTGGGGGCACAGGGTCTGAGTCCTACTCGCCTGGGCTGCAGCAGCCACGAGGGCCGGCCCAGGAGGCTGGACAGCGGCCCTTGGCTGGGCCCATCAGGTGGATGAGAACGACACTGCAAACCGCTTCACCACCTGGGCCAGGCTAGGCCTATCCAGCGGGGCTATCACCACACTGAGTCCCTCGCGCGAACCAGGCCAGCATCCAGGCAGTGGGAACACCCTGCAGGCTGCTGGGTGGCCTCGCATGGACAGGTGGGGCCTCAGTCCCAATAAACGGACAGGAACAAAAGGAATGCAAGGTCTGGAACCCATGGCTCTGGGAGCGGTGCCACCAGGCTGGCTCCTAGCAGAGAAATGGGAATCGCAAATGCATTGCAGTGTGCAGTGAAGAAACGTGGGGACGCTGCACCGCCTGCCAGACGACGGGGCAGGCGCCCTGAGCAGTGGGCCCGGGGGCCCTGGCCCCAGTCCCGAGGGATTGTTCCACAAGGCCTGGCCACTGACCTGCCACCTCCTGGCTGCCTTGATCCAGCAGCCGCACTGCGGTGGTGAACACAGGGCAACCCCTTCCTGATGCTGAGA